CACACTGCTATTCCCTCTGTGCTCCCCACACACAGCTCTGCCAGTGCCCCTCAATGCAGACCCACAGCCCCCATGCCTATTCCAGCCCTCCATGAGGGAAACTTATTCAGAGTAAAGACCTCTTTGCCCTCCAAGGAGGGGGATTCTGGGTTCCAAGTCGCATGCCATCTCCTTATTCCTCTATGCTGCTGCATCCATTGTTCCAACAGCTCGGCTGAGGCGCTGAAGCCTTTCCCAAGCAAACCTTCCCTTTTTAAGAAAGCACGTGACTGGCCCATGATCTCGGAGCCAGGCCCGAGGGAGCAGTCTCTTCACATTGGCTAGGTCAAGCCTCCACTTCACACGGATTCTGTGGCCACTTCTGTCAGCCAAGGAGCAGCCCTCCGCCAGAGCCTGCACAACTCATGCAAGGTTATTCAGAGAGGCGAGGTCAAAGGGTACTTTAAGGACCCCCTCGCTGCCAGCCGGCTGACACCGCAGCAGAGATTGGAAGCCGCTGGCACTAGCAAGCTGGATATAATAGCACTGTGTGAACCAACCTCCAGACCCCCCAGCCTGGCACACTGCTTCATTCCATCCTGGACACAGACCCTGTTCTCGGTCACATTTTAACTGCATTATTGCTCCCCGGGGGAGATGCTTCTAGACGGCTTTACGATATACAGCGAACACACTAACAACTCTCTCCTTCCCCAGCCTGGAAAAGCTGTCTTTGGAACTAGCCAGCTAGGACAGCGCTCCATGAGCGCTCCCCCTGCTCAGCTCCCTCCACACAGAACGACCAGGCAGACAGCAATGCCCCACCCTCTCACAGCACGAGTCACTGATGTTTGTTACTCCAGGAAGCTGTTTCATTAGCTCCTTCCCTCCCCGCGAGGGCCACATTTACCTTATACAGCGTGTTTCGGATGATTTCGATGTTCATTTCGTCGAGGTCCTGCTCGGATATGCAGTCCTGGAAGAAGGCGGCTGAAACAGACACAGAAAGCCATGAGCAAAATTGCAGCGTGCTCCTGCTGCTCCGAGTTGCACACCGTGCTCCCCGGAGAGGGAGTGGAGTGCAAGACCTTTGCATGCAGGAGGCCAGGTTTCCAAAGGCACAACACCCAGCATGACCCTTACGGCTGGATGGTCAGAAGTGCTCGGATTGGGAGCTGAACTCGGAATAATCAGGCCTGTATTCTGGTGCCTAGATGGGAGCCGAACTCTTCTGAAAAAGACTGGCTGTGCCTTTTCTAGTCCCCGGGAGTTATGGTGCCGCAAAGCCGGGGAACCACAGAGCTCTGCAGGAAGGGGCAGTGTCTTACCAGTAGTTTTATGGTGGTGACACTAGTGCCATTTAGAAATCGAATTTCTTAGGGTGCCTTGAGCTGCAAGGCTATTAGGTCCTAGATTCGAGTGCACGTCAGGCTGCAGTAGCAGTTAGAGCGCTTGTTTGTTAGGCAGCACGTCGCTATTCCCCAGGACCGGGCCAGCATCAGCCATGGTGGGGAACAAACGCTGAAGTAGACAAAAAGAAGGCATATGCAATCAAATGGGGGAAGAGGAAAGTCCATATGCCTGTAATGGTGATGGGACATTCATGGGGGCAGAGGATGTTAAGCTTCTAGGAAGGTAAAGAGCTGGATTAAAGACTCTGACCTACAGGAATGTTCTACACCGCCTTGTTTCTCAGCAAGAGAGCGTCATTTTCATTCAATATAAACCCTGGACACTTAGAGCCTAGAGACGGACACACTGCACAGCTGGTCAGACTTTTTTAAATAATGCATTTCAGCTTTGGGAATTTGACATCCTGTGAGACACCCGTAACTGGAGAACACACTTCCCACGTACTACAGTTTGCAGTACCTTCCGTTACACTTGTGGTTGCTATTTGCGTTAAGGGTCCTGGTTTTCATTCTGCTCCCATCTTGCTGCCCCTTTTACGCTAGGGTTCACTTTCTGTTTTCCCACGCTCATGTTCAGGGAACGTATGTCAACGCTTTGGCTTTACTGCAGGTGATCCTTCCTTAGCTGAACACTCAAGACATGGGAGCAAGAGCTCTTGCTATTGGTTCAGTTTTTGTCCAATTTCTTGGCTCCTTGTCTAATGAGTCATTTTCCCATCAACTATTTCTCTGCCTCATCGTCCCAGGTTGTGTTTGTGGGAAGCACTTTCTTTCCCAGCTATGAAAATCTAGGCTGCTACCAACTGTGCCACCAGGATTCAGTCTGTTGGGGAATTGCATCCTTTCTGGAGCAGCTAGAAGAACTGCTTGTGGATCATCCCATCGATTATGCTCCATTAACTCTGTTTGCCAACACTAGCCCCGGAGGCCTGTGTGTCCAGACATCCACTGTGCACAATGGAAGCATTCGCTCATCTCCTCCCAGACTGCTCCATTGCTGGCTTTAGGTCTTGTCTGTCTCTTGCTGGGATAAGGTACCACTGGGATAATGAGTTTCAAGTACTTGTTTCACAGTGGGACATAGACAAGTCTGGCTCTGCAGACCACAGCAATTACCAACATTTAACAAAATTAGTGGCATCTCCCACTGGGAGAGTTACTTTTCCCCTCTACTGTTATGTCTCTCAGCTGGTGAGAGAAGGCTCTACTGACCATTCTTCCAGCCAACCTGTGATGCATAACAGTAACGCTTCTGCTGGTTTCCACATTCTACAGCTCGGTATAAGGTAAGTCAGTTTTCCAACCTGAACTCCTGGTTTATGGAGCGCCGGCTTGTATTTACTGCCTGCGTCAGTACAAGTAAAGGCAGAGAGGAATGGAAGTGGTAGCTATCGGGAAAGATGCCCATAGAAAACTGCCCAGCATACCAACCAAACTGCTCAGTGTTCCAATGGGAATAGTAAATCTGTGCTACAAACTTGCTAAATTAAGTAAAATTACCTCACTCCCTCAGAGGGACTTCAGATTATTTGCTAAACTGCCCTGTGTTACCTGTGTGTCAGTCAAGACGACTAGTGTTAAAAGAAGATTACATTTCTTAACACGCTTCAACTTTCTACCTTCAGGTTTCTGCATAAGACCCTTTGTAGAGCAGCTGATGGGGAACTAAGAGGGTCGCTATACGGCTCATTGAGTTGTAGATGCACAAGATAGTTCAAGTAAGACATACAAGGCAGTAAAACCCACCATGCCTGTCTCGGTGGTTAGACTGTTTTGTAGTCCCGGATTCAGAAACACGGGTTTGTGCCCATCCTAGTGCATGAATGGGCAGACCGGTTCCAAGCCCAGCTGAAAGGCACTTTGAATAAACACTGCTCACCCAGGGGCGTGTCCACCAGGATTGCGTTGTAGAGCTCCGCAGGGGTCTGAGCAATATTCACAGCTTCCATTTGCTCAAAGCTTCCTAGCGGATGGCACTTGGGCACCAGCTCCGCGATGGAGCGCTGGTGCAACGTCCCGGTGATCAGCAGGATGACGTTATCGATCATGTAGCTGTAGCTAGGAGGAACAGGAGAGGGGAAGCGTGTTACTGATACGGACATCAGGGCAGAAAGATGGGTGCACGTGTTGGCTCACAGAAGATACCACGCCCTCTGGAACCAGTCAATGTTGCCTCTTCAGTCAACCTGAAGGCTCTGTAGGAAGTTGCCAGGTGCACCCAGGAACCAGAGAAGCCTCGTTTCCAACACTCACAGGTCTACCAGCCTGGAGGAAGAGGAACCAAGCTTACTCCCAACTTGAGATCATTCCAGCTAGACCCCAGCCATCCACACATCTCTGCCTGCCACTCCCCTCCCTCTCCCAAGCCACTGGGACCCCCTCATGTCACTCGCCCCAGTGCAGACTCCTCCTTTTGTGGCTGTACAAAGCATTGCCTCAGCAAGGCCAGCAGGAGCCAGGGAAACTGATGGGGATGAGGCTGACCAGTCTTCATCCCTCTGGCTGTGTTCAGCTGCTGCCTCTGGGGAAGCACGGTGCAGCAGCAGCAGCACGGGTGCCGTTGTACAGATGCAGCGGGGAGAAGGCAGCGCTCCTGCAGCCCTGTGCCAAGTCTGGCCCCTGTATCTTGTGCCTACTCACTTGGGAGCACATACGCTGGGCAGCCTTATTAAAAACCCAGTAAGAGGAAAACTGCATGTTATTAATCACCATCACCTTGCAGCCTTTAACTCCAGACTGGAGGTTTCCAGAAGACCTGAATTGATGGGTCTGATGGAGAAATCAGTGGGTGTGGGTCTATGGCTGCGTTATTTCAGGATCCAAAGGGGCTCTTTTGTCCTTAACCCATGAATCATTTCTACTGCAGCAGAGGCTATGGTCCGCACCCCGACAGGGGCTGCCTTGTGCTAGGCACTGGACACACAAGCCCCTCCCACAAAGATTGGAGCTTGAAAGACAAGACAGGCCGGAGGGGCGGAAGTTGCAGCAATCAAGAAGCAAGGTCAGGGCTTCGACATCCTAGAGCAGTGGTTCTCAAACTTTTGTACTGGCAAACCCCTTTCACATAGCAAGCCTCTGAGTGCCACCCCCCTTATAAATTACAAACACTTTTTAATATATTTAACACCATTATAAATGTTGGAGGCAAAGTGGGGTTTAGGGTGGAGGCTGACCGCTCGCGATCCCCCATGTAATAACCTGGTGACCCCCTGAGGGGTCCTGACCCCCAGTTTGAGAACCCCTGGCCTAGACAGAAGGAGACGTGTGAGTTTTAGACACTGCCTGGATGCTGGGCTAGAGGGCAGGCAAAGGCACGAATGTGGGTTGGTGCTGCGCAGCATGACAGAGGCAGACAGGGGGAAGGGCTTTGGGGAAGATCGGCAGCTCAGCTGTGGCCATGTTGCATTTCAGCTGAGAGCTGGAAATACACAAGGAGGTCAGGAAGACAGGCTGAAATTTCAATTTGAGGGAGACAAGTGCAAAGCAGAGGCCGACAGAGATGGCAGGAGTCTATCAGCAAACATTGCCCGGAGACGCCCAGGGAGCGTAAGGGAGACGAGGAGGGTGCCCAGCACGGTGCCCTGATGGGCCTCAGCGAGCAGGGAGGATGACTAGGTCCTGAAGGAGCAATCTGCAAGGTAGGAGGAGAACAGGGAGAGGATGGAGCCATAAGATCGCAAGACTGGGATGAGCATGGTGGACAGTCTCCAAGGAAGCTGGTAGGTCCAGGAGGCGGCGTACAAGGATTTGACCGGAAAGAGGCCATCAGAGCCTTTGGCGAGAGCTGTTTTGGGGGAGCAGAGAGGGCAGAAGGCGGATGGGAGTGGGGCTCGAATGGAACTGCTGAGAGCGGCACGCTGAGTGAAGTGAAGGGCAATGGAGGCCCAGCCTGGCAGGGAGCAGTGCTCCAGGCCGTTCTCTGGATGGCCGGAGGGTAAATTATTGAGGGGAAGGGACTTGAGGCGGGTGAGAAGGGGAGGGCAGAAATGGGGCTTGAGGAACCAAGCAGGGAGGACACGGCCTGGCTCTGTTCAAGCACTTCGTTCGGCCTAGCTAGTAGGGCCTGGGCAAGCTTTTCAAGCCCTGCTGAAGCTGGGGGCTGCCATGTCTCAGGGAATAAGCAGAAAGCGAGAGCAAGCAGCATACCACATGGGGTGGGTAACTGCCCCTCCAATTGCCCTCCGCTTCCCCACACGCTTCTGCCTCTGCCTTTGCCTTCCCCTTATGACAACGGGCTTTGCTGGGGCTCTCAGGGACAGTTAAGATTTGGCTCACTTTACCAAGACTACACATCGGCACAACTGCATGACTCTGTTAACAGCCTCCCAGCTTAAAGGCAACCCCTCTCCTGCCTCCACAGTACCCTAGACCAGAGCCCCCTCCCCACTGGAGAGATTAGAACATGGTCAAGGCCACCAGAAGGGAAACCCCCTGCCCCCACCTCGTTTGTAACAGAGACGCAGAGACAGCTGTAACACAGGAGTGTGGTTAGCACTGGATGAGAGGCCACAAGCCATCAAGATGCATCTCAGTGAAACACTCAGACCAAGCCCTGGCTGAAGCATGCACTGCTAGGACCAGCCCAGGCTATACTGTCTGCTTACAAACAAAAGCAACTTAAGACAAGATTTCACGCCACGATTCTCAGGAAAATCCAACAGGTCGTCATATGCCCATCTGCAACGCCCCTACTCTGCAAAGGCTGCCTGGGCTGCACTGGGGCATCACCTACACACAGCAAGGCAAAGCACGCTGGACCTGGCAGATGGCACGCAAGGCGTAAGATCCATTCAGTCAGAAGCCTCCTGAGCTTAACCTGCAACTAGGAACAGGCAGGGGAGAGGAGGATAGAGCGCGCGGATATTGCCAGCGCAAGCACCAATACCAATTACATGCAGAATGGCTCTTTACCTGCCCTAGCTCACCTCAGGTCCTGCTGTCAGCATGGCAAGGGAAGGCTGCAAGGAGTTAGACCCAAACCATCCACAGACATGGGAACCATAACACTTCTACAGCTACTTGTGACCACAGAAACGGCTCCAGAACCGCGCTCGCTCATCCAGCTTTGCTAGAACCAACTGAGGTTGTGCAACGCAGAGCTGGGCTGATGGGCCATCCTTCACACACTGCTCGGGGAGGAGCACAAGTGTGCAAGCACACACCTACACTACTTTCCCACTCTCCATTTTGAAAGTGTCCCTCACCCGCTCGAGTTTCCTGCACCAGTCTCTGAGGAGGACAGAAATTCATCACACGACTTTGGACACCAAATCGAGCCTCTCAGACTCACAAGTCTGCCTATTACTACTGGTCCCAGGTGAAATCAGCCTGGGGACCAGCTTCATATGTGCACAGTGTGTATCCACAGGTCCCTGGATATGTGCACAGAAGCATAGGTGTGCATAAAAACAACAAGGAGTCTGGTGGCACCTTAAAGACTAACGTATTTATTTGGGCATAAGCTTTCGTGGCTAAAAACCCACTTCTTCAGATGCATGAAGTGAAAATTACAGATACAGGCATAAATATATATTGGCACATGGAAAAGGGAGTTACCTAACAAGTGGAGAACCAATGTTGACAAGGCCAATTTAGTCAGGGTGGATGTGGTCCACTCCCCACAAACAAGGCAATGCTCTCAGGATCTGACAGCTCCCGTTCACCGCTATAATAGTAGCACAGGTATCGACCCATCGGGGTGAAAGCGGTGCAACAGGAAAAGGAACTCATCTTTTGTTTGTCTGCAGCTCTCCCGGAGGAGCACATAAACCCAGATAAGACAAGACACATCTGTATGGGACCTAATGTAACGGTCCGGAAGAGGCCAACCGGCCAGCTCTGAGTACATGCCTTAGCGATAGCGTTGGCTAAATATGCGCTGCAGTGCCACTTTCCAGCAAGCCCAGGCTGTGTTTATTCCAGCTCTCTCGCGCTCATTCCAGATAAAACAAACAGGAGGCTCAGCTCTTAGTGTTTCCCTTTCCAGGTGACAATCAAAGCTCTGACTAAACAAGAGACTTAAGCCAGAACACACTGACCCAGTGTTTGGGATGCAGTCAGAAAAGCCTCTCCGCAGCCATGCCTGGATGCACCTGCTTTCCTGTGCAGGGGTCTGGTAAGAATGCAGCTGCCTTCTTGTATACCAGTTACAGCACAGGGAGTGAAGCAGCAGTACCTCCTTTGCCTCTGCTACGGTCTCTTCTACCAGCCCTATGGGGTTTGGTCGGCTTGATTTATTACAAAGAAACAGGATAGCAGTGAAGGTTTCCCTGTGATCCCCAAATGCCCATCTAACAGGGTGTACACGTTTATCTGCCTGAGCTCCCTCCCCACAACTTCCTCTGGGCCTGGAGTGCTTCAGCACCTGCGTACATGTCATTTTTAGGTCATGCTCTATCTCTTGGGAACAAGAGGATTTCCAGCTGGCAATGCCACTAGTCTGGTGAGAGCCAGACACATGTACAACCAGACTGTCAGATGTTACAGAATTCTGCAGCAGCTTCACAGAGCTAATCAGTGCTCACACCTCCACGCCTCAAAAAGGTGCCACCAGAGGATAATCACTTCCCCTGTTTTATTATGTGAAGAACAAGGGGAGCAGCATGTTAGAGTCATATGGGACTGCTCCCTCCAGCATTCCCTTTAACAAGTCAGGTTATGCTGCACCTCGTAAGAGGAACAGTTCAGGAACATCAAGATTCTCAGCCAGCAAGGAGAATACAGGGGCTTGGAGGGAAGACGCCCATCTTCCCACTTGTGCTGGGAAGTGGGCCACTGGGTTGAGGGATTCCCCAAGAACTGTGAGGTGAACCAGGAAAGCCACTGCGGAAGAGGGGGAGGTGGTGACAGCTGTTAAGACAGAAACTCATCCCCAGTGAAATGGTAACAGGCACCAGAAGTTAATTAGGGAGCGTAAAGGCTAGTGTAAGCACCAAGAAAGCTGAATCAAGGGCTAGCAAAAGAGGTTTAGGGAGACCTAAATAAGAACGGGGAGCAGGCAAGCAGCAAGAAATGGGAGAGATTACATTAGACAATAGCTAAACTCTGATGTCATCCTG